GCCTGCTCCTTGTGCCAAATGGACTTTTTATTGATATTTATCTTCTCCCTAGTCATAAAAAGGTAAACACCATTAATACTCCACCGCTACATCAGCTGCATCAATCACTCTGACCTGCTGTGCTGCAAAGCTTTATAGCACAGCTGAGCAAAGGCCTCGTGGAACCATGGGAAAAAACAAGCTGCTCTGTCGTGACGGGGTGATGACATGTAACTGAGGTATTGAACATCCATAACACTGCAGTCTGAGCTGTGTACAACCTTTGAAAAATTACATTAACCCCCTCCCACAGTCTTATCTCTGTTACCTTCTTTAAATATGGAGGCATGAAAAAGCAGGCTGCGCCTTTGACTTCTGAAAAACAGGTGAACATTTCATATGTACATTAAACTGTAAAACATTAAAAATATGCCACTGACGCCATCTTCCACTCCAGCTCTGAATGGGAGGACTGCACAGACAGCGACGCCTTCGCTGGCACCGCGAGGACTGATTGTGATTGTCTGTGGAGGGCCTCTACAGTCCCCATCCTGCCAGTCACTCCCAAACCCGCCCTTGATGATCCGTCACTCGAAGCGCTCGTAGTTCCTGGTTTGTCGGACGCGGGGGACCATGTCCAGGAGCAGTCTGCGGCACAGAAAAAAACAGGCAAAGAGATCAACCTCTGATCCACCTAATGATACATCTGAGCATCTCGGCTCAATATTGCACTTAAACATTAAGGTCGCTTTGGGGGATTTGAAAATGGAGATGACAGCAACCTTCAGACACCTACCAGCTGTTAGAATACAAATTTTCTAGCCTCGAGATTTCAACCTTTAAAGGTGTCACTATTTTATTTTTTCATCATTCCCGTGTACAAATATAACTTGTAATGCTTTTATATGAATCCAGTGACAAAACTGCACACACTGAAATTGGTTTTCCACACAGAACTAACACAGTGTAATTCCACCAAATCACTTTGTAAGCTTTGGTTTTATGAATACTGACTCCAGATGGAGGTATTCTGACTTCATTGTGCTTTTATTATCTTGAAACACCACAGAGTATTTATTCGGGTAGTTAGTTTAAACCATTTCCTCACTAAATGTCCAAACCAATGCTCTGCAAGCTGCTTTGCAACCCACCTCCTCTATTCATTCTGTGGATATGTTCTGCTGCAATATCAACAATTATCTCCATGACACCAAATAAAAGGTACGCCATTTTTTTACCAAGTACTAGCCACTTACCTAACTCCATAGGCGAGGATGATCAGACCTATCAGGACACCTATTGTTCCATCCAGGTACCACACCTTGGGCTCGTTCTTGTAGACTTCAGCACTGATCAGGATGGAGAAGCCCATGATCCCCCCCAGCAGTGAGTTGAATCCTGGAAAGAGACGACCAATGTCAGTCAAAGTCGGCTTTGAGGGTTCAGAGGTCAGGCCTCAGAAACCTGCTAGTGTCACTGCACATGTGATATTCACCCTTGTTTTCACCAAGAACCCAGCAGTGTGACAGATGTTTGATCTGGCTCCATGCACCTGTAATCTCATCAACTATAAGGCAACTTTAGGAAACCAATTGGAGCTGACAGACATGTCAGAGTGACAAACGCATGATTTTTACGATTGTGATAGTCACGATCTAATGGCATCACTAGGAAAGCTGAGCAATGTGAGGAAGTTTACAAGTTCTAAAAAGGTATGATCTCTCTGCACGTGCACACCTACCATCAGTGAGGAGAGCTCGGCTTGTCAGTACTTTGCCGAGCATGAACTTGATTACAGCCAATATGATGCACATCAAACCGCTGACAATGGACACGCTGAACAGGAAGTCGTCCTGTGAGAAACAAAAACAACAGACCAAGAGTGGGATTCAATCTCCTTGTTAAAAGTGCAGCATTGATTCAAAACACTTCAAGACTTGTTTTAGACAGTGATTACTATCAGCTCAGGAAATTTTACCAAACAGCAACTTGTACAGGGTTGAATGTTTTTAGACAAAGTTAGCTGCTAGCATTGCTAGCATTAGCTGATTACTTAGGAGTCCACCATCTGGTCTTCCTAGAGCACATTCCAGGTCAATAAAAATAAAAACTACCCACCCACCCACACAGGAGCAGCAGGCAAAAGTCTAGCATTGATACTTTATAATGTAAAGGTCAGAAACCAATGGCTATGTCCATCCTTTATATACAGTCTTTGGCCTTGACTGCTGAGCTTTCTTTTACTACTCAGTGAGTCAGCTCATGCAGGGTAATATCTGTATTTATAGACACAACCAGTACTTCACTGTGTACCAAACCCTATCTATCAGACTCTCCGTTCAAATTCAAAGACAAGGTCTCTTTTCAATACACCTACAATCACAAGGCGGCACACAGCTCAAGACTGTAGCTGCCTTTTAGCAAGCTTAACCTTCCAATCCCTACAGGTTATTCAGAAAAGCAACATTTTAGCACAACGTCACATTTCCCAAGCTCACCAACACTGTGAGTCTAATAACAACTACATCAGTAACACGTTTTTTCACACTGAACTGATGAATCCAGCTGCTCTGCCTCCTTGTCAAAACAGCACAGACACTATCACTGACAACCCTGACACCCCCACAATCATCACCACCTCCCCTCAGTATCGTTTACCTCCAGTAATGGTCCAACAATATTCTCCACTGCTCCCCGTAGCTCTTATGTAATTGCTCGTCCTGATAAGTCTTTTTTTTGATTAGTGTTGAGCCACAGATTCGCTTCCTGCGCTTTATCCATTTGGTTTTCAACAATTTAAACATGACTTTGTTGTTACATCTGTTTTGAGGGCCACATCACTGAATGCCTGAGATGTAAATGCACAGAGGACGGCTGGAGGAGGAGAGATGGATTAGAGAAGAGAAAGTGAGCTGCAGAGCACTCAGAGCCTCTGCAGCAACATTAATATTGTACTATGGCCTCGGAGCCATGGAAAGCTACTTTGGCAAGCTCGTGCACATCAAAGAGGAGATGGAAAGAAAACCTCAGCATGCTGCATAGACCTAAGTCAATGCTGTGACTCAGGTTTGAAACTGAAAAATTGTTTATCTACAAAGCATTGACCATTCTTCAGCAACAGGAAACGTATTCAAGCCAGACATAGCTCATTTTGGTTCATTAGACATCCTCATAAGGTGAGTTACTTTTAAAAGAAATGCTTCTTAATGTGAACTTTTAACAACATTTCTTAAAGTCTTTCAAAGCAAAAAATAAGCCTGGCTGCAGGCTGTAAAAAAACAAATAAAAAAGGCACTACACACAGACTGTAAGTAAATGATGGCCTTCAGCCAATTGTTAGCAAAGTCCTGTTGTGAAGCTGTGAACCGAGTGTTTTAACCATCGCCGTCCTGGTGTTTTGAAACGGTGTGGTGGGTGAGGTGCAGACATGACTGCGAAACCTTGTCAGTCACAAGGTAAGCCCACCCTAAAGCAGTGTTTCATTAACTGACCAATAATTTTCATCATATTTCTTTCTCTCAACAACCTTTTTTTTTCTGACAAAAACGAGACAATAATTTAGCAAAAAAAAGACAAAACAAAACTAACCCACAAGGACAAAAACTACAAACTATTAAATGTATCCATACTTTTGTCGGTGAATAAAAACTAGATAAAAACATTCTGGAGAGACGAGATCAGAACTTAGTTAGTTGTGTAGAAAGGCGGGAAGAGTGTGGAATTTATCCAATCACAAGTAATCTTGTGCAGCAAGGTCAGCTCCCGTGCTCCCTTTATCTCATGAAAATTCAACAAAATGTCAAAGTTTGGGAGGAAAAGAGGAGCAAACGACACATGGATACATTTCACATTTGATGTCAAGGAAAAGACACTTCTGACCCTAACCGATGGCCCCGCCCCTCCCTGAGCCTGGTTCTGCTGGAGGTTTCTTCCTGTTAAAAGGGAGTTTTTCCTTCCCACTGTCGCTAAAGTGCTTGCTCACAGGGGTCATATGATTGTTTTTCTCTGTATGTATTATTGTAGGGTCTACCTTACAATATAAAGTATAAATAAAATTGAATTGAATTAAAAACCAATTCAATTGGTTTTATATTGTAGTCAGCTACAATATAAAATGTAGCTGACTACATTTTATATTTTAGCCGAATCAACTTTAGATTTAGTCTGTGAAAATCTTCTATTTAGTCAACTAAAACTAGACTAAAAAATGTTTAGATGCCTCAAGTATGACTAAAATGAAATGACGTTTTATTTACAAGTCTAGGACTTTTGACTAAAATCAAGATTTGTTCTCAAAATCAACACTTTCTTAAAGCATTTCCTGCTTTTTCCTCCTTTGTGACTTCTGTTAGAATCTCATAGTCATTTTCCCAGTGACTTCAGTCCAGACAGACTTCTCATTGCAACACATATAAGAAGCAGGCATCACACTTGTGCATTGGTTTAGTGTTCAGACCCAGAAGCTACTTCCATCTTTTATATAGAGTCGATGACAGTGCATTATATCTATCACTGCAATAAAAAACACACATTTAGGTATAGATGTAGCTAGTGGTCAAGAGCTAAGAAGAGTGAATGTACTAACAGAGGCACACACTGTCGATCATTTATTTTGTTATTTTGGAAAGTTTTGTTTCCAGTCAGCTGAAATGAAGGATTGCATGCTGCGACTCACTCTGTTATCACGGGGAATCCCCCAGTGACCTTATAATCAATTTTCCCATGGCTGTTGCAGGCAGGCATTTTG